GGGGGGGGGGGGGGGGGGGGGGGGGGGGGGGGGTTCTCGTTATTGCCGGGATTATGGGGATAACCGGAACATTGCAAAGGACTCGAGGGTTTGAGCCAAGCCGAAGAGTCTCACCCCACAAACCGGCCGCATCCCAGCCCGGTCCCACCGCCCCATTTATGAGGCCCGGCACAGCCCTAATTCGCCTCCGCAGCCAGGAGCCGAATGTCTCCTCTCCAACCTCACCACCAATCTGAGCAACCAAAACCAATCCCACAGCGGCCCCGCTTCCAAAAGGGGCCGTTTCCCTCAGCTCCCCCCGACCCGGCAGAGGCCCGCAGCGCCCATCTTACCCGGACGCGGGGTTCGGTGAGGTTCGTCCACACGGCGATCTCCTCCCGCATGCTCATATCGGGGTAGCGGTTCCGCTGGAAAGTGGCCTCCAGCTCCTGCAGCTGTTGGCTGGTGAAGTGGGTCCGCTGCCTCCGCTGCTTCTTCTTCTTCGCCGGGTCGTCGGCGGCCCCATCCTCGTTTTTCTGCTCTCCGCTTCTCTCTTTTTCTACGGTGGGATGTTTGGGTTTGGGTATATACATATATATATTGGTTTTTTTTTTTTTTTTCTCATACATTTTTTTTTCCTTTTCTTTTGTTTGTTTGTTTGTTTCATACTCAAAAACACGCACACAAAGGCAGCTCCCCCTCCCCCCCCCCCCCTCATCACCCCCAGTCCTGCCCGCCCCATTACAGCCGTGCTTGGGGTACCCATAGGGACCGACACCGCAGCACCGAGCGCAGCCCGGCCCGGCCCGGGGAGATCGCGGGACCCGCATGGCTCGGATTGAAGGGCGAAAGGGATCGAGAGGAGCGGATTACAACAGCGGCATCGCCCTCATTGCGGCCCACGACAACTTTTTTTACTCCTTTAAACCCTAAGGCGCGATCTTTGCTCCGTTTTCTTTGTTGTGTTCGGCCGCGACAGGAAACTTTGGAAGGGCAGGGGTGTAAAACCCGCAGCAATTAATTGCAAAAGTCGCCCTCTCTCTTTACTCCCCCACTTTTTTTGTTGTTGTTTTCTTTCTCTCTTTTTTTCCCCCTTTTCCCTCTTTCGCTGCTTTTAGGACCTGACTGTTTATTTTAACCCCGGGTCGAGCAAAGCCCTCTGCAGAAAAAAAAAAAAAAAGAAAAAGAAAAAAAAAAAAAAAGAAGAAAAAAAAAAAGGAAAAAAAAAAGAGTTTCGAAAGAAGCACAAACAACAACGACAACAAAAATCTCAGTCGCGTTTTTGGCGATCGGGATTTGCACGCTATAGAAGCAGGAATGCGGGAATCGCTCCCGGCCCCGCGGCTGCGGGGGACAGAACCTTTCGGAACGCTTCTCCTCGCTTCTCTCCGAGCTCCGTGTCGGAACGGCACTGCGAGGGCCAAAAGCAGAGCGATGTGGGCCAGGGGACGGAGGGTGGAGGGGAGCCGGGGCTCCGCGCAGTGCCGCTGCGGGACGCGAGCACTTCAGCCCCGAGGGAAACTCCTCGGGCGCGCAGCCCGTCCGCCTCCCCCCGGGCCGAGCTGTGCGCCTTTCCCGCAGGCTCAGGCGGTGGTGCGGGAACATTTCTGCAGCCCTGCGACTTTAAACAGAACCGTGGGCTGCGTGCGGCTGATGGGCTGGGGGGAAGGGGGTCGGGGGGGCTCGGCCTGGAGAAGTCACCCTTCTCTCTGGAAGCCCTCCGGAATAAAAAGGAGGGACAGAGAGCTTCAACGTAGACCCCAACGCGGTGAAAAGGCCGATAGCAGCTCGGATGGCCTCTCCCGGAGTTAAGTGGTTTGCAGAGCAAACAAGGCCTGCAGCAGCCCCAGAGCTGCCCCGGTCGCTGGACCACCGAGCAAACAGAAAGCAAAGCCCCCCCATCCCCCCCCCACCCCCCCCTCCTCCTCCCTGCCCTCCCGGGGCCGCCGTCCCCATTCCCGGCCCGGCGGTGCGGGGGGACCCGGCTGCATACGCGGAACGAAGAGCTGAGACCGCGGCCCCGCGTTCAGCCCCGCCGTGATTTCAGCTGAAACCCGGCCTTCAGTTCGGGCCTCGGTGTCATTTCAAAACAGAGAGAGGATTCGGTTCAACTGGAATTTGTGCCTTATTATTATGTTTTTTTTTTTTTTTTTTTTCTTTCCCTCATTAAAAATAAATAGATAACAATAATAAAGGAAGAAAGAGAACGTGAAAGGTATTTCGTAGCTTCTCGGAGATTAAAAAAAAAAAAAAAAAAAAAAAAAAAGCAGCAGGTCTTCAGCCCTGCCCCGCACCGAGGGGTCACATAGAGGGGTACGGTAAAATGGAGCAAATCTCCCTCCCTAATCTCCAATAATCCCCTCTAATCTCGGAGTCCCTTCCAGACGCCGGTCCCTCACAGTTTGCTGAGCGGAGCTCGGCGCTGCGTATCGCCGTGTGCCGCCCGGCCTTGCCTCGTGCTGCAGCGGCGGGACCTGCTAACACCGACACGAGCAGCAACATCTATTGAAAAAGTAATGTGAAGTGAAATGAGAGGGAAACTCCTCCCGAGAAAAGCAGAACGGCCATCGGGCTCCTTTCTGCAGCTTTTGTTTCCCTCTCCTAGCTTCCCTCGTCACCCTGGAAATGTTGCTACTTCAATTAAATACAAACTGGGAAACCACAGCTTTCCCTGCAGCCCTCGCACATGAAGGTCAGGGCGCGGAGAGCCTCTGCAAATCGCGCAGCCCCTGCGCAAAGTCCTCTGCGGCCGCGCACGTCCCCTCCGCACTGCCCCACGCTTCCTCCGTTCTGCGGGGAATTTTTTATTTTCCATATTTTTTCTTTCTCCCTCCCCCCTTCCTCAGACAGAAAAAAACTTTTTCCATGTCCGCACCGCCCGAGCTGCAAAATAAACCCGGGCAGAACTGACATGATTTCAGAAATATCTGGCAATACCGCGCTCCAGGAAGAGCGCCGTTCACTTCGGTGCGATTAATTGATCGCTGTTTAAATAACTAAGAGCTAAGAGAAAGAAAGAGAGAAAGAGGGAGAGGGAGAGAGAGAGAGAGAGAGAGAGAGAGAGAGAGAGAGAGGAAGAAAGAAAGAAAGAAAGAAAGAAAGAAAGAAAGAAAGAAAGAAAGAAAGAAAGAAAGAAAGAAAGAAAGAAAGAAAGAAAGAAAGAAAGAAAGAAAGAGAAGAAAGAGAAGAAAGAGAAGAAAGAGAAGAAAGAGAA